GCTCGGGCCTCATGCACGCCATCAGTAGTAACTCTGTGATTCGAACCGAGTGCGATGAAACTTGCAGAGAGTTTCGGGGGAACTGGGTAGCGAACACAAAGAACAAGAGCCATATCTGGACCACTCCGTCCCTTACACAGCCCTTGTAGCCTGAGTGTTGTGAAGCATGTAGGCTTGCTGGATGCGTGGTGTGCAGCATGTTGGGCTTGCAGGACGTGTGGTGTGCAGCCAAATCGGCTTCCAGAATGTGTGGTGTGAAGCTCGCATGATGAGTGGTGTGAAGCATGCAGGCTTGCAGGACGTGTGGTGTGAAGCTTTTGGGCTTACAGGACGTGTGGTGTGAATCTCGCAGGACAAGTGGTGTGAAGCTTGTGGGCTTGCAAGAACACTGGTGTGAGGCGAAATCAGCTTCCAGGAAGTGTGGTGTGAATCTCGCAGGCTGTGTGGTGTGAAGGATGAAGGCTTGCAGGGCGAGTGGTGTGAATCCCGCAGGACGAGTGGTGTGAAGCTTGCATGGTTGCAGGACGCGTGGTGTGAAGCAAAATCGGCTTACAGGACGTGTGGTGTGAACCATATTGGCTCGCATGACGTGTGGTGTGAAGCTCGCAGGATGTGTGGTGTGAAGATCGCAGGATGTGTGGTGTGAAGTATGGAGGCTTGCAGGACGAGTGGTGTGAAGCCAAATCGGCGTCCGGGCAGTGTGGTGTGAAGCTCGTAGGATGTGTGGTGTGAAGCCTGTAGGCTTGCAGGAAGAGTGGTGTGAATCTCACAGGACGGATGGTGTAAAGCATGCAGGCTCGCAAATGTGTGGTGTGAAACTCGCAGGACGTGTGGTGTAACGCATGCAGGCTTTCAGGACGAGTGGTGTGAAGCAAAATCGGCTTGCAGGATGTGTGGTGTGAGGCTTGCTGAACGAGTGGTGTGAAGGATGCAGGCTTGTAGGACGTGTGGTGTGAAGCAAAATAGGCTCCCAGGACGAGTGGTGTCAAGCATGCGGGATTTCCAACCGTGTGGTGTGACGCATGCAGAACAGGTAGTGTTAGGCATATACAGTATGCTTGGTGTGAAGCATGGCCTCAGGATGTGTGATACAAGGAATTATCCAGAAACGGCTCCATGCCTTCTCGTCTATCACCAAATTTTGTTTTGTGTTTCTATTAGCGAACAGCGGGAGTGCCGTTCTCAATTTACGGTAGCCGCTCAGTAAAACAGTATCGTGTCTTCTCGTCTCAGCAAATCCACTAGTGTTGGCGGCGGCCTGAGTGCGACGCGATACGGTCGAGGCTACAGTTGCTATAGCCCACTCTATCGTGAGTCTCTCCAACGCTATAAAATCCCTTTCTTTGGTAGCTATAAGTATTTACACGGGCCCGGAGTGTTCGAGTCTGGCAGACACACCCAACATGGGTGGGAGTCTCAATCCGTCGGTACAGACCACGAGCATCCGGGGTCTCACCTTTGTTGACATGCTCGACCTTGAGGCGCAGAACAAAAGGGAGCGAGGTACGTGTCTCCCCGAGCTTATGGGCATGCGCCGTGACTGAACAATATAGACAGCGGCGGGAGGAAAGAGTCTTGGGATAGGAGAGAAATTATGCGAAATTTCGCATGCAGTCACGAGGATGCCCAGCTACCATTTTCAACTTCAGTATCGCGCACGTCAACGTTGAGCGGCAGATGCTATCAATGCGAACAGGCGCATTCAGATCATGATGGCCCACAGAAGTGTACATACAGCGGGCGACCACGACGGCCGTCAGCCTCAGGCAGAGCAGTCGACTGCACCATGGCTTTACACAATGCCTCGAGTTGCTGTTCTTGCCACTGCTGCGGCGCGCACGACCATGCGTCTTGCCACCTGCGTCCTAACCGATTGGCTTTTGTTCCTGTACTCGACGACCTAGTACACAGGCTCAAGTCGCTTGGGAACGAGATGGACCCCCGTGCCGGGGTGGTTCAGGATCGTGCTGTGGACGCCGACGCCGCTGGCTTTCACTGTCATACTCTGTGGCCCTAGTGCTGCGACCGATGGTCAACAGGGTGACAAAGCTTTCGTTGTAAATGCGGGCGCATGTTTGCCAGCAATGATAGAAAGGGAACAACCGCTAGCCACCACAATTCGATCTCAGCTTCGTGCTTCCAACGCTCGGTCGTATTGTCTGGCAGGGTGGGGAAAGCGCAGCGACAATGTGGCATGCCAAACACAAGTACCATGGCTGGCCTGCCGGCAAGCTGTTGCGCGTGGATATAATGGTGCAGATACCAATCATGGCGGCGACGCACCATGCCGGAGATTGAGCCTATTCCATATTCCGTCGGTGTGCGTTCCAGGGTCAGGTTAACCGGCGAAGGAGGCCCATACCACCCTCAAAGTAGAGTGCCGGCTCAGCGTTTTGACTGCTCAGATACCAGGCGACGACATCTAGGAAGCTTTGGAAGTAGCAGGCCCTATTCCGTTCATGTTCCCCGATTATGGACTATGGGGTCAAGAAAATCATCAATTGCGCAAATCTGGAAGTGGGCTCTGTCAT